TCCCCCCGCCACAGCCGGGCCCGGCCCGGCTACCGTGGTGTCAGCCGTACCGGTTTCCCCCGGGGCCGCTGTGCCGGGCCTGTCACCTCCAGGGGCAGCCCGGCTCATCTCCCGGGCGACTCGTCCCTCTGTGGAACCCCCTTCTCTTGCACAGGACCAGTTTACCAAAGAAGGACTGCCCGGTCATACAGAAATACTTAGTTTTTAATTAGACGGCCGTAAATGGTAAGCCGTTGACATGGATCCCCTTTCTTTCCCGCACGAAAATCGGTAAAACTGCGTCGACAAGGCACAGTTTTTGAGTTTTCGCACTCCCGATACAAAAAGCATATGAAATGTGTTCAACAAAATGATACACTTCTTTATTTTTAAAAGATTGTATAAAAACCCGCAAGACTTTCAACATCAAAAATCCTTAACCTAAAAAAATAGCACCAGGGAGAGTTAGAAACCTTTAAAAAGTATTTAAAAGGCATTTCTGAAATCTACCTCTCCTTACAACGTTTTTATAAACACATAGTAAAAGGCAGCTCTTACAGGGAAAAATATTTCAAGGAAGACTTGTCTACTACAATTCTTATCAAGTAAGCTTAATGCCAAGACAATTCTCATTCCTCTTTTATCTTTGTTTACTTTCCCAGAGTCCTCTTTTTTCTCATCTATTTATTTTTCTTTTGATCAAATAGGAAAGGATGTGAGATCTGGAGTATGAAATTAAGAGATGCCGTGGAGTGGAGGTTACGTGTCAGCCCAGTTTGGAAAAATAAAAACCATCATAGGATCCCAAGGGAGAGGATGGCTGTCACCCCTCCGAGGACCCGCGTCAGGCTCCGAACGGGGACTGTGGCTGGAGTTGGGCGGAGCAATTAGTGTTGTGACTCGGGTCCAGCCTGGGCATAAGGATCAGAGGTTGGCGAGGGGTCCGACGCCAGTCGGCACGGGTTCCTGAACCCCTCCAGCACCCGCAGAACCCACTCCGCCACCTTCCCAGTTGGGAGTCTGGTGACAAAGGTGGTGAGAGGGTACTACTTGTCCCCAAGTACTTGCTGAGCATTGCAGATGCCAGCAGCAACATGCAGGAGACCTCCTGGCTTTCTCCAGCGTTTTCTTAACTAAGGCATGCGGCTCGAACACGCATCACTGAGAACGAACCCCTATGGGAAGACTTTAAAGAGTAACCTCCGGGCAGGACCAAGGAAAAAAAGCCTTTAAACTTCACCTGGGCTTCCCTTCCTGCCCATTCCCGAGTGTGGCCTTGGGTTGGAGACCAAGAGAAGATGGTTCTCAGAGCCTGGGGATGGGCACGGGGTGGAAAGCTGCACACAAGAGTGGAAAATGGGAGGCTCCCTCCTCCGGGGAGGCTGCCGTCCTCCACCGCCTGTGAGGGGGGTGCAAGGGGGTCCCCGCGTGTCAGAGAGGTAGAAGGAGCCAGGAGAGAAGCTCTCATTTCCCACTGATGCTGTACACCTCGTGAGACAGCCCAGCCTCTGGTGAAGGGCTAGCCCAACACAAAACACCTCGCACATGCCCAATTTTGAGAAGGCACCCAAGGACTCTGCCAGACCCAGGCAACAGTTTGTAGTGAACAGCAGAGGTAGGGGAGGAAAGAGGGACTGAGGGGGGAACATCACAAATTGTTTCAGTGCATTGAAATGTGCATTGGAGTCAAGAGTCCCCAGGAGACGCCGGCCGGGACAGCAGCCCCGCGGCTATGGAAAACCTGGCAGAGATGGATGGGCTCTGCTGCCCACACACCTGCATCCCCCCCGGACGCTGGCCATGGGAACAGAACGCCCAGGACTTCATGGACAGCGAGATAATCACTCTGGAAAAGTTAGGGAGTGGAGGAGGGCGATCAAAAGTGAGCATGGCGGTGGCCACAGGAGCTCCTGGTTTGGGGGTACAGCCCCAGGAGCCCCCCAGGGCGCTGTCAGGCTGGGCACACGAGCACCAGCAGCATCCCACCTCTGTGCACAGCCATGCACGGGGAGACAGCCACACAGGGAAGGAGAGGTACAGTACAGCCCCTGCCTGCAGACCCCCAGGACCTGCCCCTGCCCCTTGCACATGCCCCCCACCCCAGAGGCAGTGCCTGCAGCGCGGGGACACGCACAGCCCCCAGCCGCAGCAGCTTTCCCACCTCGCTGCCGCCACGGGGTCAGCTCCCCCTGCCCATGGAGAAGAATGGGCGCAGGGTGAGGCCAGTGCTGCTGCGCTCCTGGACCCCACAGCCCCGAGGGCCGGGTGGGATTTTCCCTGCAGGAAAACCCCCTGCACCACAGCTAACACACTGGCAATACTGCTCAGGTTTGTGACATCGTACATGACATTTGGGGCGCTGTATTTTGATGATGACATTGACCACTACGCTATCCTTCCTGCCGACACACACATTCATTTGGGAAATGAATGCTCAGAGAACATTTTCCTTTATGGACACTGGAGCCCAAATCCTCCCTGCTCTGATTACTGTGTAAGCTTTCAAACCACTCAGCAGGATTTTAAAATGTAAGGAAAAGTTTTAGATGCTTTAAAAAGGAAGTAGTGAATATTTGTAAACTACAGCCAAACATGTATAAAACAATATTTCTTTAGTTCTAGCTAGAAAAGTAATTCTATCACCTCACAGTTCAGTTTCAGCTACATTCAGGTCTAGGAATCTCCACATTCTTATGTAATGCCTTAAAGCAGCAATAGACGTTAAACAACACAATTAAAGTTCATCAAAAAAGTCTTAAAAATAAAAAAGATTTGGTTTCTGTATCCTGCATGTTCAGTGTATGTAACCTGACCAGGGTCCCTTACACCTGCTGCTACAGTTTGGGGATTTTTGGCAGTTGCTTCAAGAGAGGTTTTGTTTGTTTAGGAAAAGCAATAATTCGCTATAGTTCAAGTTTGCCTGCAGCACCCCGGCAGCTGCCTCCACACTTACTGCTCAGCAAGTTGTGACTTTCCAGCTCTAGGCTAAAACGGAATATTTAATGCTCTGGAGGAGACTTCCCGTCTCATCAGTTATGCATAGAGCTTCCTGCGCTGGGTAATTAAAGCTCTTTTGTCCATCATTTTCTACGTATCACTGCCGTTAGTCCCTTTAAAGAAAAGTTACCCTGCCAGGTTCTTTGGTTAAAGACATTTCCTCAGCTCTCCCTGCGGGGCCAGGCTGCCTTCCCGCAGCATGTGGCCGGGGAGGAATGGTGCCGTGGCAGAGTCTGGCGGCCGTGCCCGTCCCTCTCCCGCCACGGCAGCGGAGCTGTGCATCTTTACCAGAGAGACGAGGGACACTCGGCTTGCTATTCGCAGGCAAAGTAATCCTTGAGTGGGGAAAAGAGGTGCCGGATGACGGGGACGCTCCATGATCTCCCCAGCAGCTTCTGGCGAGCCCCGCGGCCGATGTTGGAGACATCCGTGTAGTGGAGGGGGAAGCCAAAGATCCTGCGGAGCAGAGGCAGAAGACGGGTGGGTGAGGCTTGGTGGCTGTCCCGCTCCCCCAGCGCCCACCGGCTGCAGCCAGGACGCAGCATCCCTCTGTCCCATCCCCGCGGCCAGCGCGGGGCTCCCCTAAGCCCCAGCCTGTGTTTTACAGTCTTGCTGAGCAGAAGCTTCTCGCTGCTAAGAATCAGCGTTCTCCTCCAGCTTTGCCAGAGTGGCAGCAAGCGAACCATGTTATCGTTTTCCACCCAAAGCCCTCAGAGCGTTCGGCAAAGGTGACGCAGTCGTTCCTGCTCTGCCCAGAGCCAGAGGCAGACTCGCCCCAGGGCAGCAGCAGGCAGCAGCAGAGCAGAGCAGCGCCCGCATCTCCCACGGCCCCTTTCCTGCGGACACAGGTAGCCTGACAAATCATCCCACGCATTATCTGTGCAAGCTTATCTGTACCATACAACTTAACCTGCTTGCAGATGGGGACAAAGTGCCCAGACCCAGCTGTGGACTCGGGATGTGACCCATCCTGGGGAGCGAAGGCAGGAATGAAGGAGCCCTGCGCTGCACCTGCTGGCTCATGGAAGTCTACACATGGCAAGTATGTGCACGCACCTCTTACACTGGATATGCCTGTGGGCAGAAAACAGCGAGCTGCCCCGGCTCCGGGGGCTCACAGCACCAGTGCATTTACAGATACTGAAGCGAGGGCAGCCAAAATTAACCACCAGCAATGCTAAAATTTTCTGTTATGGCTCTGGAGTCCACTAAGCTGCTAAGTTGCAGTGATATACACTGTACTGAAACACCAGTGCCCCAGGGTGGGCCAAAAGATGGACAAGAGATGTTGATGTACACCCTGAGAAGCTGACAGGAAAGCAGCAGCCCTGGGTGGTCACTATCATCTCAGGTTTTGAGTCTTACTGAAATTTAAGAGACATTTTCTCACATCCAGGATGCAGTACAGGGCTCTTGTCTTACCCAAGTGCCCCAATGCGTAGCCCATCAAGTGAAACGCAGCAGGTCTGCCGTGCTTTCCTGAAGTATACAGTGATGTGTTCATCCCACCAATGCCCTCTCCTACATCCACCCACTGCTTTCCTACTGAAATACCACTCACCTCCACTGACTGCCTGCCTCAAAGGCTGGAGCAGAAGTGTCAAATGCCAGAGCATTGCTGCTCCCGACTGTTGGAGGGAGCAGAAGTGCTGCCATCCCGTGAGCTGCAGCAGGGTCCCAGCCCGCCACCACCAGCACACCCAGCAGCCGATGCCCCTGGGAACACACCCCAGCAGAGCTCAGGTTCCCCAGTTAAAGGGAGATGCTGGCAGGGATTAAGACCCTAGCATGCTGTCTCCATTATAAAATTGGATTAGGAAAATAAAAAGCAAAACAGAAGAGCCATCAATAATCCCTCAGCCGGGAATCAGCACTAGCACTGAATGCGGGGAGTAAAAAGCAAATGCTAAATATCTAAAGACAATAGAAAATTCCTCCTCCCAGCTCTGCGTGTCAAGTCTTCGTGCAGCCTCTCCTGCTTGGCTGAGGTCAATAGATCACTCTTCAAGGAACCACCAAGTCATTAAGAGGTCGTTCGCCATAAACTCACACCTCTGCCCGCTCCGGCACATGCCAGACCAGAGCAGGTCCTCCCAGGGCGGGCACAGGAGCCCTTCTCCCCAGGGCAGCACCCCTCCTGAGCCACCCAGAGAGGAGGGAGAGCTTCAGGAGTCTCCTATGGGACAGGCACTCTGCTCCCCAGCATGGTCAGAGCCCTGTAGCAGCTGGAATGGTATCGCCAGCCTCGTTAGCCATTCCTAACAGGGCCAGGCAGTGCCAACCCCCTTTCCCCAGTGCACTCCGTAGCTTTTCTTGGTATAAAAAGCTTTTGGAGGAGCCCTGTGCCCCTGCCATCCTGCCTGCCTCTGCTCAGCAAGGCACCTCTGCAAGCATCGCCCCAGGCTATTTCATGGAGATAGCTCTGAGTCATCGCGCTGGGGCTTCCGCCTCCCTACAATCAGATGAAAGTTCAAGTGCCATTTCAAATGGCATGACAGGACAAAGGCTCGGTAATTGCTATTTCACTTTCAAATACCTACATGCCTCTAGCTCTGCTTTAATTAGTTTTAACTCCCAACAAATACTGGCAATTTGAATACAAACAAGCGAAAATATTTAAACCCAGTCTGTGTTTACTGGCTGAGGCATTCACTGTGAGAAAACTCTGGGATTTGTTGCTAGGAGTATTTGGTGTGCAGAACTGCTAGTAATTGGATTTTAATCTACTTCAACTCCTTCTGTTGTGTTTTGCCATGAATTCGGGGTGCTACGAGGTGTGAACAAAGTTTGGAGGAGAGCAGTCGTGCTTTGCCACAGCAGCCGCCTGCTGTAGCGTGAGCTTCCCTGTGCTGCCGCACCAGGCTGAGCGGCCCCGGCCAAGGCGGCTGCTCAGGTTTATCTCTGGCAAACCCCTGCACGGCTCTGACCGGGGCATGGGGCTGCCATACAGCACCCCCACATCAGCCTGGGTCTTAAAGGCTGGTGCACGTGTATCCCCAAGCTAGACACACCACACAGCATCCTGCACAAGTGCTGTCACTCTTGCCTCCACAGGCTTCAGGTCCGGGGCAGGGGATGCTGCTATACTTTTCCCACAGTCTCATTGCTGCTCATTAGCAAGCACATTATCATGTGCACATCACCGCAGGGAAACTGCACCATATGGGAGCTGCAGCTCTTCGGCTCCCAGGAGCTGGGCTTAGGGCCAAGGAGGAACGAAGAACCACACAAGCACCACAAAACAGAACAAACAGCGAGAGATTCAAAATGACAGCAGAGGATTACCTGTTCATGCCTGGAAGGTTGCCCCAGAAATAGCGTGCTCGGTGGGCAGCTGATATCTTGATAGCATCAATCATAACTGGGTTACACTGCAGGCCACGAGAGGGGGGAAAATAAAAGTTAGAGGAGGTATAGGCTCAGCCCTCTCCTGCGTGGAAAGCCCTTCTCCACTGCACTGCAGGGACTTCAGTCTTCAGCAAATCTTCTTAAGGATGTAGCCCCAACAAACCCTTGTTCCACACCAGAGCACAGTCTGGTTGGCCACGTGAGCTCCCACGCCATAGCCGTGGCCAGCAGCTAATGAAAATCACAGCATGCTTCAGTGCTGATTTCTCCGGGCCAGGATCAGGACCATCAGCCTCTGGTGAGACTTTTTACACACGGGGGTCCCTGCTGACCTGCAGCCCACCTTGGCTACCAGACAGTTAAAAATCCTTTCCAGCCCCTGACCTCCCTCTCCCTAGAAATAACAGGCATTGCTCTGAACAGATGCTTTCTGCAAGGCTGGCAAAAACCTTCCCCTGGAGAACTAGTGCTTGGGTTAACCTGCTGAAAGCCAGAGGGGATTCCAGAACCAAGACTAAAAAGTTGATTCCTGGCGTGTGCATCAGGCCTGGGGTTTTCCAGTGTCGGGGCCATACAAAACCACAGGAAGACCCTCACAGCCTCGGCACACCTCACGCAGCCCAGCAAGGGTCTCCGACTCCAACGCCTCTCCCAAAGCCGGCAGCAATCCCTACCTCCAGAAACCGAGAAATGTCCCTCTTGTCGTTGACCCTCATGGCCACCATGTTCTCGAACATCCAAAAGAAGGGGCGCTCCTCTCCCGCCTTGGGACGGGCGTAGTTGAGCAGGTGGTAAAATTCAAAGAACAGCCTCCCGGTTCCTTCTACAAGGGAGAAAGCCAGAGTGGTGGGTTGGGACTGGCAAGAGGTTGGGACCAGCTGCGGCACGGGGGGCATGAGTCCGGAGACCTGGCTGCCCTCCACACCGTGATGGCATGGAGACAGCCTGTGCTTCGCAGATGGATGATTTGCAGCTCAGAGGGGAGCCACCACCAACACAGACTGGGGCTGAACCACTTCCTTGGACTTTAAGGTGGCTCTGCACCCCGGGAACACCCCAGGGGTACCCAGCCCTGCAGAGGCAAAGCAGCCTTACCATACAGCCCCTTCCTGGCTGGATTGACAAGGGAGAGGTCGTTACAGGGGCTTCCACCGATCACCAGGTCAAAAGGACCCCACTCCTCAATCTAGAGTGAACAGACAGACCCAGTTAGGAGATGCCACATAAGTGGGTTTCTCCTCCCTGGCAGGCTGGGGGGCAAGCCCGTCCCAGAGCTGGTGAGGCGAGACCCACGTGGCCATGGTGCCACATTCCCCAGCCTTCCCGCAGAAGCAGTGCTCACATTTCTCTTGGTTATGTTCCTGACATCGTGCACATAGGTGATGTTGCCCTCCTGCCGTGTGGTGCCCACAGCAATGGGGTCTTCGCAGATCTCCGAGGCAATGTACTTCTCCACTTGGATGCCCAAGTCCTTCAGCACCAGGTATCCTGCCAAGGGACAGAGGTCTGAGGTTGCACTGCTCTCTTTAGTCTCCCAGTCTCCTTCGTCAGCACAGAAGCTCGATGTGGCGACTCTTGCATGTCCTAGGTGGGTGCAGTCACACAGGACTTCTGGAGGAGCAAACTATTTTTTTGATCCAATCCTCCAGGCAGGTTTGCTCCCAGAAAGCAGAACTCCAGAACTGAGTGAACTGAGTCAAACCAGTTGCCTTCAGGCACTTCTTCACCAGAGGCCAGGTTACCAGCACTCCCACAGCTCTTGCTTCTCAGTGAAACCAGCCATCCAAGACGGCACTCGGTGCAGCATGCCCTCCCTCCACCTCTCCACCTCTCCATCCTCCACAGCCCCGTCCAGCAGGAAGGGGAGCCCCTGCCCTCATTCCCTTCTGATGGGGATCCCCCTGCCCCTCATCCCCTTCTCCCCACCAAGCATTGACAGACAGGTTTGAGGCCATGAAACTATTCAACCCTGACATCCAGTGTTGCAAGCCACCAGGACAGTGTTCTTCCAGTGCCTCACCTGTTGCTATGCCATCAAATAAAGAAAGCACTCGAATGGGTCTCCTCTTCGCTGGTGGGACCGTTGGGTAGATTTTGGGTGCAGCCTGCAATGAAAGGACAGCAATGAAGCCCCAGCTCTGGGCAGTGTTCTGATGCTCTGTGAGGCCAAACCTTGGCTCTACAGGCATCGCCTCCACTTTTAGGGGAGCATCTGCAGGGCCAAGAGCCCAGCACCCGTGGAGAGGGTAGATGAGCACAACCAAGGCAGAGGGCCAAGGAATTTTGAGCCGTTCACCCTGCCCTCTGCAGCCCTCTCCTCCAAAGCCCAGCGCGCTGGGCTCGCCTGCCTGCAGCCCTTACGTATTCCTGTCCCTTGTCACTGGTGAAGAAGTCCTGCAGACGGGTGTTCCAGTCCTGCCGGCGCTGTAGCACCCCGTAGCTCCTCTGAGGCTGGCACATGTAGCAGTTCCAGGGCTCCTGCTCTTTTGCCTTGGCCGACGTCCCTCGCCCCACCAGCACCTCCAGACACTCCACACAGAAGCACCTGCCCAAACCACAACCTCATGCCCATCACCTCTAGAAACCCCCCTGGGTCACCCCAGCCTCTCCTGCACTCCCCTGCCATGCACCGGAGCCCCCACCCCGCTTTGCAGGATGTTTTTCTATGCAGTATCCTCGTTTTTTAGGCTGCTAACACAAGCTGGTGACCCAGGCGCAGGTAAACCTCCTGCCATCCTCCCCAGGACTTATTCAGGTGCAGAGTGGCTCAGCGGGGATGGGTGGGCTGTGCTGGGATGTGCTGTGTGGTGGCCAAACGGGTGCCAGTGCAGTGCCCTGCCCAGGCTCACACACAACCCTGCTTGCTTGCGGCTGCAGAGACGGGGCCCACCTGCAGCAGCTGGCGTTGCTGCAGAGCAGCAGCTCCTTGCCTTCGCAGCAGACAGTGCAGTAAGACTGGTAGCCGTCCTCGTCGTACATGTAGAAGAGCTCCAGGAATCTATCCTAGCAAAAGGACAGCCGGGAGGAGAGAGGGACAGAGGATCAGGATCTGTGCTCAGAGGGTGAAGAGAGAACACAGCTTTGCTCCATCCGCGGTGCATGCCAAGACCTCGGAGGCGCACATCCTCAGTGCTTCAAGCGGAGAGAACATGCCGAGGGACAGCCCCGTGGTGGACGCAGCATGGCCAGGATCTGCCACAGTCACCCCTCCTGTCCCAACAGGGCTGGACTCTGCTTCCCATCCTCTGGCCCCAGGCTCCCGCTCAGTCCCGGCACGGCAGCACTTACCCTGCACGTCTGGCAGAGGCCCCCCTCAAACAGCGGATGAAAGGTGGCCGGGTTTCTCCTCCCGCAGGACAAACAGCTGTCTGTGTGACAGAGAGAGCTCCGCTCACCCCGGGGTAGGGAGCTCCATGCAGGAGTGCGGCCCCTGCCCCGCCACCCCACCGCGGGCTGCAGAGGCTGGAGCCTCTCGTCTGAACTGCCGGCAGGTCCAGATGCAGCTGTGGCTCCCCCAGGAACAGGCCCCTGCCTGTCCCCCTCCGCACCAAGGGAGGCCCAGCAATCTGCAATCACAGCACCTTCCCCCTTCCTGCACGGTGCCGTTAAAAAGGGACCCACGATCTTTGCCTAGTGCTGGCTGCAAGCACCTGCATCAGCCCCACACCTTTTCCCAAGAGAGGTAGGGCAATCGATTACCTTCGAGACTCCCGCTGTTGTTCGTAACTTCGGAAACCATTTGCTCTTTATAAAATTTTAAAAAAAGAGAGAGATTTATCATTCCTTATGTAACAAACTGTAAATGCACTCTACTTACAGATGCCTTATTTCTTGCATTAAAACTGCTACAGCTTTGCTGAGCATTGCACAGAGAGGGCAGGCCATGGGCATATTTTGGTGCAAAACCCATGTCCTTTCACTGCTGGAGATACTAGAGCTAAAGCTCAAAGTAGCAACGCACAGATCATTTCCAAGCTGAGCAATTAATGGAGCCCAGCTTGTGGCACCATGTCTTGCAGTTGGGTTTGCTGGTGTCTCCTAAGGCACAAGTGAGCAACAGGAGACCACAAAAGCTTTTGCCTTCAGAAGCCAAGCTCACGGCCCCTGGGGAAGAGCCGAGCCCTTTCCCAGAAGTTTCCTGGTGCTTTTTCAGGATGTACACCCCAGGCCACGCTGCTCCCCAGCTCTCACTGCCGGTTACCTCGGGTCTGGTCCTCTTCCACTCGCTGCTCCTTGCTGCTGTTGCAGGGGTTGGTCTTCAGCCTCTTGGTGGGGGGGCACTGCTCGAGGGACAGCACCTCCTCCGTCCCATTCCTCAGGGCCCCGTTCTCTGCAAGGGAAAGGTGGCTCCCTGGGGACAAGCCTCCGGTCCCGGGAACTCCCCAGGGCATGGGGGGACATCTCCTGCCGATCCCTGCCAGGTCCCACCCCAGCCAAAAGCAAAGCCCCTCCTGACCACCCGGGCTCCCCATGCATGGCTCGAGGCTCAGCCAGGTCATTGACTTCCAGGAGTAATGGCTTTGAGGGTGCTTTACTCTGCCTGTTTGCAGTGCTGCTGGGGGGGACCCCAGTGAGGAGCAAGGAGCCCCAGGGCCACCTCAGGACCGGGCCAGCACGGCTGCGGCAGAGGGCAAGCAGCCTCGGCCAGGGCCGGCCGCAGTGGCCGGGCACCGGTGGCCACTGCCCACACCAGCCCCACGTCCAGCTCCTGCCACCACCTCACCCGAGGCTTTGGGTGGTCTCAGTCCCTTGAAGCCCAAGGGTTTGAAGCCGGTGAGCGCCCAGTCGATCATGGGCTTCAGCTGCTCCTCCAGGGACTCCCCAGGGGCGGCTGTAAACGTCTTCCCCGACCGGCTCCGGGCAACCTGCCGAGAAAAAGAGGGACGGTGTGGGCCAGGGTGACTGGGGCTGGTCCCCGACCGGGGAGCAGCCCGGCTGCAGCGTGCATGGCCCACGTGCCTGCCACGGCCGCGGTCCCAGGCCCCCTCCCCACCATGCACACACGCGCGCAGGGCTCGGCATCCCGGCACGGCGGCAGCTGCCGGATTCCGGCGCTGGGTATGCCCTCGGCCACACTCCTGTGCCTCCCCTCCCCGTAATGAGCCCGTCTGTCCTCCACCAGCCCCAACCTAGCTGGGAGCAGGGACAGCCCAGCCCCAGCTCTTGCCCAGACTCTGCTCCCTGGCAAGCAACAGAAAGCAAAGGCAGAAGAAGAAGAGGTGCCTGTGGGTTTGCAGCACAGCAACCCGGAGTGTGGATCAGACCCACGGGGTGCTCAGTGTCAGCCCAGACTGCAAAGGGCATCAGGAACCAGCCCAGGACACCTCCTGCCAGCGTGACACTGCCTTGCAACCCCAATTCTGCCGCACATCAGAGCCCCTCGAGAGAGACTGGCCCTGGGGGTTTCTGGAGCAGCGAGACCCTGGAGCAGCAGCAGTTACTCCTGAATCCCCCGGGATAAGCAGAGTTTGGCCCCACAGCTGCACTTGGAAATAGTCCCAGCAGAGAAAGGAGGGTTTTCCTACAGACATCTGTCCACACCACCCCAGCAGATGGGGGAAAGATTAATTCTGGATTGTTGAGGGAGCTCCCTCACTGATCGCTCTCAAGGTGATTCACAGGCATTATCCAGATGCAAAGCAGAGCAACGTGCAGGGGCACAGCCGCGAAGCCCCGGCCCCAACCAACCCCCACACACTGCCCGAGCTCTGCAGGCGCCTGGGCTGCATCCCTCATCTCTCCCTGCATCCCTCATCTCTCCCTGCACCCCACTGCCCCCCGCAGAGCCCAGCCGCTTCACTTGGCACCCTATCCATCCAACCCCAGCTCTGCTCCGCGGTTACCTCCAGGGCATGGTATATGGCTCGTCGGTAGGAGACCAGCTTATTAAATGTGGAAGAATTGAAATGCTGCCTAAAGGCCATCAGTCCCACCAGCTTGTCTGCAGAAACCTGGGAGAGAGCGACAAAAGCTTACCAGCAGGCACGGGCATACCTCGCATCGGCCACGTCCCCCACAGCACCATGACCCCGCGCCGCAGACCCGGCCCTGCAGCGCAGGAATTCCCAGCACGGCTCTCACGCTGCAGCCGAGGGTGCTGGGCTGCAGCCGCGTCACCCCGCTGGGGCTTTGTCTGCACCGTGCAGCCACGCGAGGAAGGCCAGCGTCAGCGTTGCAGAGGGCGACCCGCGGCAGAGGGAGGAAGGCAGAGGCGGCGGCATTGCACTCATGACTAGGACCATTGCGCTCATGACTAGAACCATTGCATTTGTGACTAGGACGGGTCTTTTGCACCCTCTGCTGGCATCACACCTCTGCCGGCACAGCCGGCACGGCACGGCCCTTCACTCCCTCTTGCCTGCAGCCCAGGGAAGGCACGGGACGGTCAAAGGGTGATGGGGCTCCAGGAGGGCATCCCTCACCAGGCAGGGAGCGACAGGGGCAGCCCTACAGACCAGGGCTTGGAAAAAACCCTGCGAAGGGGCCGGGCAGACGTCCCCATCGCTGGATCCTCTCACCAGCTTACGGTAACCAGCCATCAGTTATCGACATGGGAGCCACGAGAGCATGCCAGAGCCTGACTATGCTAAACACCGGGGTCCCTGCCCAGGGAGGCTGCAGCTGGGCGCACGCACACCCCAGAGGCAGCCCCAGGAATGGGACAGGCGGCAGAAATGCGCAGGGCAGGGGATTCCAGCCTGGGCGAAGCCGGGCACAGGCAGGGGCAGGCAGCAGGCTTACCTCGGAGAATTTCCCGTCTCCGAACCACTGCACCCACCGCATGCCTGAGACAGCCTGGCGCTTGGCCGTGGCTCTGTAGGAGACGACGATCGCAGGCCACCAGGAGAAACCTTTGATCTTTCCCCAGACGAGCTCCCCAATTCCAAATTCCTTCCCGTCCTGAAAGCAAAAGAGGCCAACACAGATCAGCCAAAAGTACACAGCCCCCATTTTATCCAAGCAGCTCTGCAGGAGAGCCCTGGAGCGTGGGGGAACAGCCACGGAGCACCCTACAGAGCCGCTCGCCACGCGTGTCACCCGCTGGAGTCAAGTCACGTGCGTGGACCTCTGCGCAATGATGTCCAAAAGCTGCACCCCCCTCCCTCAAAAAAATGGCACAACACAGCCCCAGCAGCGCTGGCTCCCAGCCCTGCACCACGCCGGAGCTCAGCGGGAAGGTCTGCGCATTGCCAGCCCCATGCCAAGCCCAGCGCCTGGCACGCACGGCGTGGTGCGTGCTCTGTCCTGCACAGCCCTCCTGGCACCGGCGCCCGAGCGTGCCCACTCCTGCCTGCCCTCCCGGGGTCTCTGCAAATACCGGGATGCCTTTTCCTGCACCCACACAAACCAGCAGCTAGGAAGCTCCGGCTGTCACAGAAGGGCTGGCTTGCAGCAGTCCCGGGGATGGGAACGGGCAAGACGGGCGGGCAGCCGCTCCAGGGAGCGCAGGCAGACTCTCCCGATCCCCTCACCCATCGCAGCCATGTTTGTCTGGGAGAACTTGGCTCACTGCGCGCTGCTGCCGAGCCTCGAGGCACGGCCCAAGCTGAGGGATGTGGAAAGCACAGCCGGGGATGCTACGTGCCCTGCCTGCCACAGGGAGGACTTTGCGCCGAGGTTGCTCCCCGGGCTCCCCAAGCAGACGGGGATGCTCCTTGGCACAACCTTCACAGGGCTCGCGGCTCAGCTCGTCTGGCTGCACCCCAGGGAGAGGGCGCCCACCCTCCTCTTGTTCCCACAGGGCAGAGCAAAAACAGAGAGAAAGAAAAGCTGGGAATTTTGGCGTGACCACACCAAGGGCCGCCAACGGGCAGCCTCACGGGGGCCACGCCGGCACGGCGCTGTGCTTGGGGAGGGACCTCAGCGCAGGAGCAGTCACCTCAGCCTGCAGAGCCCTCCTTCCCAGCTTTGTTCTGCAATTAGGCACCTAATTATGCAGCAAGATGCAATTGCCCAGTTCCTGCAAGTCTCGGGCCCTGCCCTGCCGCCCGCAGGCACTGAATCACTCTCTGCAGCTCCAGCAGCTTCGTTTCTCTCCAGCATCCCCCGACAGAAACATTTTTTGCACATGCAACTGCCTGTCTCGGCAGGGCACGGCACGGCTGCCAGCTCGGCGTGTGCCGCGCACGTGTCTCTCGGGGGCCCTTGGAGGTTTTGCAGCCCCACGCGTGTCACAGGAGGTGGCTCCGCAGGGCTGGTCCCTGCACAGCACCGACCCTGCTGCTGCCCGACGGACGGGGACAGCCCGGCACCATCACACACTGGACACACAGGGAAGGGCAGGCAGGGAAGAGGAAGCAGGAGAAGCAGCAGTGACGTTTCCAGAAGGTCTCCTTGCTTGCAGGCTTGAGACAAGCCAGGAAGGCTCATCCTCACCCCGCACCGTCCCAGGCACAGGATCTCAGTGCAGGAGCAGAGTTTGGCCCCTCCGTACCTGGTACTCCAGTGCCATCCCCATGTCTCTGCTCTCCGGCTCCTCGGCCCCCAGCTCGGTGGAGCCGTTCTGGCCCTCCTGGGAGCTGCTGCCGGAGAGCGTGCTGCTGCTGCGGGACGAGTCCCGGGAGTCCTCCTCCGTCAGGTCGATGGTGGTCATGGGGATGGATGGGGCCGAGCGCCGCTTGGAGCTCTGCAGAGCAGAGGGAGTGGAGGGTTAGTGGCAGGGAGAAGGAGAGGGGCAGGGGAGAGCAGAGACCTGCCCCACGTCACCCCCAGCCCCACAGCCAGGGATTGGAGAGCGGAGAGAGGGAGCCAGGGAGCAAGGACACTGCCGCAGCCAGGAACGGAGGGGAGAGCTGGCCAGGGCTGGGGCGTCTGAGGGAGAACTGCTCTGCTTTTACTTGCAAGACACACAGAAAACAGTGCACCGCTTGCTCTCTTCACTTTCTCTCGCCAGTTCATCCCAGGGTGTTCAAAGCACCCAGTTAGTAGTTCACAGCAGGGGCAAGCAACAGCACACCCCCCCCCGCAACTCTCACAGGGGAAACTGAGGCACAGAGAGGCTGCAACATGTCTGAAGCCACTTGGCCAGGGCGCAGCAGAAGTGCAGATCTCCGGAGCTCCAGGGAAGCCCTGGCCCCGCACAGACCCTCACCCGCAGGGGAGCTGGTAGGTCCCTGAGAGTCTCCACGCTGTTTGTTTCCTTGATCTTCATCTCGTGCCGGGTCTGCCCTGCCTGGAAGATGAGGCGGACGGGGGGCTTCTGCCTGAGGCTGCTCTCCCAACCAGCGCTGCCCCGGGGCCGCACCTGCAACCAGAAGAGAGAGGTGCCGTGGCACTGACGCCTTCCCCACACCAGCGGCGTGCGGGGACAGGGACAGCCCGTGCTCCTCAGGGCTGGGCACCGGCAGCGCCAGAGCCCTGGGGACGGGGACACGGGGAAGGCAAGAGGAGCGTGGACGGCTGCAGGAAGCACCTCGGGCTGAGCCCCTTGGTGCGACCATGCACTTCACAGCATCTCTGCTGGGCTGCACAGCCGTGCTCACTGCTGCAGCCCCCAGCACCCACCAGCAGCTGCTTACATCAACTTTTGTTTCCAGCCGTCATGTGCATCCTCGACTATACCCTCCTATACCCTCCCTCCTCGCGGCTACAGCCACAGCGGTGCGACCGAGAGCAGCGGGAGCCAGCAGCCGGGAGGACCGGCCACCGGGAGAGCCGCAGACCCCGGCAGAGCAGCTGTCCCAGGCATGACATCCCACTCACACACGCGTGGGTGCTCTCACACAGGTGTAGGTGTGCTCCCTCCCACAGCCCAGCCCTGCAAAGGCACCCAGGGCAGCCTTTCCCCTGCGGTTTCAGCAGCCACAGTTTACAAACAGTCTAACCCAGGCATGTTTCCTGCATCCGGCATAACAGTGTTTCAAAATGAAATGAGATTTTGCAAGTGAAGAGCCCCTGAACCAGACATAGTGGGAAAGCAGAATTTTTCACCACAGTTGGATTTATGGCTCTTTTTTTTGGAAGCTGCCTCATCACAGGCAGATCTCCAACCTTGGGGTTTTATTTCAAAGTCAAAACAATAAAGCCAGAAGGCAAAAATGCTTCCAGACCCTGGAGGTTTGTCAACCTAGTCAACAAAAAAGGCTGGGGGGGAGGCGGGGCGTGGAGCAAAACTGGGATCCAGCCCCAAAGCAGCTAAAAGCAGGCCACCCTAAGAGTGGGAGATGCAAGATGCTTCAGTTCATCAATATGGTCAAGACTTTTTAAAGAAAATATCAGCATAACAATTATGAGACTGCTGCAACACGTAGTGGGCATTGCTGCATCACGCACCACACCCTCCTGCTGCTGCTGTCGTAACGTAAATCAGGAATTTAAAAATGAAAACAAATTTTATGCTTGTAAATGAATATTGCATCTGCCATTGGACCGTTCCCCCGGCACCGAGTGCGAGAGCGGCCCTGGCAGGGAACAGGCGAGGGTCGCGGGCAGCAGCTGCCCCCCGCAGACAGCCCACAAAGCCCCTGAGCAGCAAGGTCTTAGAGCAGCCTTGGCAAGCACTTACCTCCTGTGCCCCCGTGAGAGCGAGCGGCCAGGACAGGTCCTCCTTGGAGAGCTCTCCCTTGCTCACCTTCTTGTTGTTCTTCAGGGACGGCAGCCCCAGGCCCCCAGCATCTGCGCAGGGACAAGGCAGAGCAGCCTCAGGCTCCGTGAGCTGTCCTGGCCGTGCCCCCGCACGCCTCCACCCGTGACTGCTCCGAGCAGCAAGGCGTGATTTGAGGAGACCGAAACCTCATCGTGGAGAAATGTGGCCGAGAGCAGAAGACAAGCGATGTCCCCGAGGCTCCCCATCACGGTACTGCCGACACTGGCAGTCCCAGATCACCCACCTGCCCCCAAAACTGGGAGCGACTCTAATAGCAAGTGTGGGGACCTTCTTATACACTTTTTCGTTCCCGAAAGCGCAGAGGCATAAGGAAACCATATGCCTGCTATTCAGGGCTTGCCACCAGTTCCTTTACAGCAGGACCTCGCGAACCCCAGAGGTGGGATTTGGGGACCACGACCACAGTATCCCAGGAGCTGTGACGCAGCCCCTCGGGCCGGCGGCGCTCCTCAGGTGTTGGGGGGCTCCCCGCCTCCCTTGTTCCCGGGGGTTTAAACCATCAAGGGGCAGAGCCAGCGTCCCAGCATGGCACCCATTTCTACAACCGCTTCTGTCGCCATGACCTGGATGTGCCGCCAAAAAGCAGAAACCCAGCAGAGTCACAGAGGGACCCCAGTCACGGTCACGATGCTGCAGCCCCCCGGCAAGCCCTCGGGACAGCGGCTGGGAGACCCCTGGCCCCCTGCACCCCTGTGCATCCTGGGCACGGCACATCGGGCACGGTGCAGACTCACCTGGAGTGCTGGGCTTCCCATTCGCCTCCAGAAGAAGGGCAGGTTCATCGTTAGGAGGATCGGTGCAGTCCCCGTTGATGAGGATCAGCTCTGCCCTGCAGTCTGCCTCATCCCGGCCATGGCTCTTGTCCTTTTTCATGGTCGCCTGTGGAACCAGAGTGGAAAGGAAATTTAGCCATGCAGAAAGCCCCAGGGAAGGCAAAGCAGACAGCGTAAGCTCTTCAAGCCAGCCACAACTTCTCATGCCCTTAGCAGAGGGGTCTGACCGGAGACGCATCTGGAGCGGTACTGGGAGCTAACGGGGACCTGGACAAAACCTCCCCACAAACGTGGTGGCCCTGGAGATCCACCAGCTCCAGCAAACGAGAGGCCCCAGACACAACCTGCTTGTCCTTGGGGAAGCACCAGGGCTTTTCTCCAGGGCTGCGCTGGCCCAGCCCTGCCATCCGTACGCCGTGGAGCGCTCCGGGGCTCGGTGCTGCCCAGCCCAGGCTGGCTCTGCCGGCACGCTCCCGGCCACAGCTCCAGAGCCTGTCCAGAGGGGACCTGCCCTTCCCAGCCACCCTGCAGAAACCAGGGGACATCCCACCCCACCCCCCCAGCACCAGCCTCACCGTGCTCTGGCTGCCCAGCACACCCAGCACACCCGGCAGTGGGTGGGCTGTTACAGCAGCAGCGGGACACGGCAGACAGCTCGCCACGGGGGGCAAAGTCCTGGCGCCTGCAGTGAGTTTAACTCTCCCAAAGGGAGAAAAAGAAAACTCCTCCTGCCCCCCGCTCCCTCCACCCCTCCCGGCCTTGGCTCCCCCTTCCGCACCGGGGCAAAGGGGCAAGGCAGGGGTCTGTGCTGGCAACGCTCATGGACCACCACCCCCTGCCCCGGGGGGAGGGCAGAGAAAGAAGCTGCTGCTGCTGCGCAGATAAAGCCCGGCCAGGCGTCCCCCCCCAGGAGAGGTGGGGCAGACCTTGCCTGCGCCCAAATGCCTCTGCCTTCCCTCGGGTGCCCTCCCTGGATCCTGTTTTCGGAAGTGGAAGCTCCCAGACTTTCCCAGAGGCACCCGGGACTACGCTAACAAAGCTGCCTCATTGCTGGGCTATGGATCTGTGCTGCAACTTGCCCCTTTGCCAGCACAGTCATTTCAGGAGCACATTAACTCAGCTCAGCGAGCTAAGGAGCAAGCAGGGCTTTACCCACCTAAGGCCCTGTTAGGAAGCAAAAGCAGCCCCCGCCCCAGCCCCAAAGAGACCCTAGGCTCCAGCCTCGCCATCCCCTCCCCAGCGCTCTCGCTCAGCATCGCCTCCAACTGCTTCCCTAACAATTGAGATTTCTGCTTTAAGATCATCTGTCAGCACCTCTGACAAACAAAGACCAGTCGGGATTTGATGTTTCGGATGCCGAGGGCAGCGTTAAAACCCTGGAAACACGAAGGAAAACAGGTGTCCAGTGCCCACCTCCGCAGGCAGAGCCCCTGGGTGCACGTCCTGCCTCCCCCCCACCCCCAGACATGTCTGCTCAACAAAGGGATGAGAAGGAGAGGAATGGCACCAGAGGGAGTCTAAAGCTGCATAAATCCCTACAGCTGTGTGCAGAAATCCCACTGCTGCAGCACATCTGCTCCCAGACCCGACGAACAATTCCTGGGAGCTGCCCAGACTCGCCGGGCTGCCCCCGGCCCGGGCAGCCGGTCCCACACACCAGCCCCACGCACGCCGGCCCCGGATGATCTCGGATGCAGCAATACGCCCCGGCGCAGCACAGCTGGGTCAGCTCCTCCAGGGTCTGCTCCCCCTCCCCAGGCTGTGATGCTGCAGAATGGCAGCAATCACAGCCAGCAGCGATGCTGACACAAAAAATAGCAAATCTCACCAAAAAAATAGTGACTCTCACTTGCAAATCCATAGGTGTGAGAGGATATGCTGCTCTCTTAGCATGAGGGTGACCCAGAGAAGAGGCTGGGGACAGGGAGTTGGGGCAGCGTGAGGCTAGTAAGATCCGGGAGAACAGGAGCAGGCACGGCCACCTCCCAGCCCTGCAAAACATCTGCACCCTCAAAAACCTGCCAGGAGCTTCAGAGGACCTTTGCATTCGGTCCTTTGTCAGAAGAGCCTGTTTGGGAGCCTCAGAGAGGAGCCTGAGCCCAGAAGGTTCAAACTTGCACCTTGAAATGGCTTCTCCTTTCCCAGCCCCAGGGCTACCCCGTGCCCGGCACGGCCAGCCCGCAGCAGGCAATCAGATGAGCGTGTCCTGGCCAGTTCTGTGCTGGGAAGGCGGAGGGGGGGTGACACAGTGGCCAGGTCTCCCCAAGGATACACAGCCAGGACTGAGTACCCGATGTGCCACGCTCAGCTTTGCCACGTGCTTGGGGAGCTCCGACATTGTCTTTGTTCCAGTTATAAAGTGGGAAAAAAAGAGTTATCACTTTGGAAGGAACTGCTCCGTGGCAGAGCTGGAGAGCACACGCCACAGCTCTGCCGGTCCGTGGGACCTGGCCACAGGCACTGGCGTAAGCACAGCATTTTAGCTCACTGGGTGCAGGAGCAAGCAGTGGATACGCAGGAGCATACGCACCGCTTGCTCCACGCACTTCTCCAGCTGCACCACCCAAGATCACTCGAGGACGTCCCGTCACCATCCTCTGATATGGAGGCAGGAGAGGGAACATCACACACGACCCAAACTACAAAGCAAGTTAAAGTCTCGCTTTCCCAGAAACCTACACCTAGGCAGCGGGACTGCAATTCGCATCCCTTCTCCTACAGCCGCTGCCTTTTGCACCAAACAATGAGGCCACACGCCCGAGAGCGTCCTGCCTGCTGAAGAGGGCCGTCCGGCCCGCCGCCCCTCCGACCACCGAGGATCTCTCGCAGGAGCCACCATCCTCGCAAGCCTCACCACCTCCTGCTCGGGAGGAAGGCTCGGCTCTTTGTCCTCGCCTCCCCTCGCAGAAACGCACACCAACATGTGCACACAGGGCATTACGAAAATAATAAGAAACAGAGCGCTCCCCTCACATGTTCTGTCTCACGGGAGGAGGAGAAAAACAGCACCGCAGTGTTTGCATTGCTTAATGCACTGCAAACATACAGGCGCGCACTGCAGCCATACACTTCGTACGAGAACCCCCGAAGAACAAAATAACGCGGGATTCCAGCTCCGATGCTCAAAGCTCCCCAAGAGACGGGTGCTAGCGGCAGCCCCGACGCTGCCTGGTGACCAGGACGTGCCCTGCAGCGATACCCCACCGAGACAATGAACCCGCTGACTCCGGATCCCGCCCTAGTTTTGCAATACCAGTTTCTTTAAGGTTTGCCAAACTGGTTAAAGACCGTGCCACAATATTTAACTGCTTCGAGAGACTCCCGGTCCCTGCCCGGCCGAGCTCGCCGGCTGCCCCGGAGCGAGCAGAGCAGAGCGGCTGCGCTCACCTGCGAGGTGTCCCGGCAGGGTCCTGCCTCCGGACCCCGCTGCCCCCGGGCCCGGGGCTGCTCCCCCAGCCTGGCTCGGGCTGGTTTCAGTTTTCCTTCTTGAGAAAACAGGCTGGCCCTTATCAGGTGCGTTTCCCCAGTAGGTGGAGAGATTGCAGGGGAGACAGCCGGACTTTGCCTCCAGACAGGGGCATGCATATCAAAAGGCTGGAGGGAAGCGTTTTACATGATGGCTGGGATGGCAGCCATCACCCAAGCCCTGTTTGAATAACAAAAAGAAATAAAGGACCCCAATGGCCGGGGCTCGCTCCCTCCAGGCTGGCTCTGGGCTATCGCGCACACAAATGGCCTTTAACTCTCCCCAAACTGAACATTTCCCTCTAATCCTGGGAAGAAAAGAGTTGCTGGGTTGGCAGTTTAGTAAGAAAGGGAGCCCATTTTGGCAGATATGCTCATTAAGAAGGGCAGGCTCTCCCCTCCCCTGCCCGTTTCCTGTGCCTGGCCCCTCTCGCGCTCCCGCGCTCCCGCGCTCCGGCACTTCCCTCCATTTTCCCCCCGTTTCCTCTCCTGCCCCGCTCCGCTCCCCCGCCGGACCGCAGCAGCCCTTTGCGGCCACCCCCAGGCTCCGGCACGTCGCCCGCTGCCTTTCAGCAAAGCTTGGTTGAAAGAAAAGAAACAAAAAACAAACCGGCCCCTCCTCTCCCAGTGAAGACCAGGCCTGAGAAGTCTCCTGGGCAGCCACCATCACAGCCAGCCGCTGCTCCAGCCGCTCTAGGCTCTTTACCATGCTCATCTCGGTCACGTCCCGCTGAGACGAGCCACGCTGGCTCTCCCGAGCCCCCTGCCCAGGGACGTGCCCGCCGTGGAGCAGGCGGCCGGGCTGGTGCTGCCTGCGGGCAGGGCTGGGGGCTGCGGGGGCTCCGCCGTCGCGCAGGTGGGTCTCGCTCAGCGGCGGCGGGTCCTCTGTCCGGAGCGGTTACCGCTTCATCTTTCCCCTGCACAAGAGGACAGAAAGCCATGACGATGACAGACACCTCGCCGTCCCCATCTCCCCCCGCCGGGCCCCGTACAGCGGGGCGCAAGCCTCCAGCCCTCCCCAGAGCCGGGGGGCCGGGACACGCTGGCTTATCGCCCCTCGCCTCCTTACAAACGAGGAAACGGGAGACAGAGGCAGAAAAGGCAAGTCCTGCTGGAGGGGCGGCACGTTCCAGCCCCCTGGCTCCTTCTCCTGCCCCCTTCCTTGCCCAGGGAGGTCGGTGCAGCACACGGGCGAGAGCCCCAGGACCGGCGCTCGCCCCGGGTGTCCACCCGCTGCCGCTCCTCTCCCCCGGACTCCTGGGACTTCAGCCCCCCGGTGGGGCCGCTCCGGAGGTCATTTCTCTTTCTGCGATGCTCTCCCTCCCCTGCCTCTCTCTGCCTCCACCGGAGCTTCTCCCCGGGCTCGGGAGGCGGAGGAGAGGATGCCGGCACAGCTCCCCCCGGGTCGGTACCTGCCGGCTGGGCCGGTGCCTGGCAGCTGAGCGCGCCCCGGCTCCGGCCGCCCCCTCCCCTCGGTCCCCAGCCCCGGGGAGACTTCGCGCCCGAGGCGCCGGCCGGGAGCTGCTTTCCTGCGAAGAGAGAAAAAGCAAGAGGCACTGACAGATCCCCGACCCCAGAACCGAAAACAAAGGTGTTCGGCCCCGGCAGCGCTGCCGCCGCATCCCGGGCTCCCGGAAACCCTCCCCGGGCCCCCCTGCCCGGGGGGCGGCGCTGCCCGGGGCCCGCCGAGCCACGGGCAGGGTAACCCCCAGCCCGCCCCAAACCCGCCCCGGAGCCTCCCCCGCCCCGGAGCCATCGCTCGCCGTTTCACCGACGGGAACCCGAGGCCCCGGGGGTCTGCCGTGCTCCCGCCGCGGCCCCGGGCTCTGCCTCTGCCCCGTTTCCCCTGCCCGTC